ACAAGTCAAATAAAATCAAACTACAATTTGGAACCATTAAAGGCCGTTATTCAAACACCGTTCCCAAAACCAAACCTTTGTGTTAGTCCACACATAATATATCATAAATAAATAAAGCATTAAACACCTTGTAACCTAATGAAAACTAATAGGATTCACTCTTCACTCATGCCCCATCATGATCATGCTTCAATACCTGAAAAGTTTATCTCTACTTGTTTCCACTACTCTCCATTACGAATGGGTCATCATAGGGCCAAGATAAAGACATGGCCAAATACACAAACACACAATCAGCAAAGCTGAGTACATAAGCGTAAATTAGCCACACTAACATGCTTTTACCTATCAACACACACTTACCTCATTGCACCTGTTTACAAGCACACACACCAATCAACAAAACACAATGACTAGACACTAATTAATTCATTTTGCATTGATTACGCATCGAACGGGTTTCCACCTCCTAACCTCCCCCAAATAAATTTGAGGTTAACTGGCACGGGAGCTAACCGTGCCAACGACAAAACCACACAAAGGTGGCGGAATTCCTGCGCATAATAATAAATAAAAAGAAAGGAATATACAGCGTCCTGTACTCCATTAGAATTTATGATTAAATATAAAACCCATAACTCCCCCATTGTTCATACTCAAGGTATATACGTTCCAAGAGTTTTGGTGCGTAATCTCTTTCACTTTACGTTATTTACATATTATTAGACTTGGTGATGACTCTCAAAGCATAATAAGTCAATCAACAATAATTATTCAATCAAACAAACATACTAATTTAATCCTTGAATAATTAGTGACAACATATTATTTATTTTGAACCCTTTTTAATTCTACCCCAGTGTCAAAGACACCTTAAACGCATAATGCGCCGAAAATCCTATCCCTCGATGTTAAAAACACCTTAAGTGCACAAAGGCACCAACATATAATTTATTCCTTGTGTACATAGACACTTATATAGCTCCTTCCTCATGCTTAAAGCATCAATAAAAATTATTTGAACCATAATAAAATTCCTTTTCAATATTCCAAACATAATTAAACATGTAGTTTAATTAATCATGCCTTCTAACATGCCATAAATAAAAATGTGGTTCAAACACAACATGCCCAAAATATAATTTTCCAATCCATAACCATCACAAATAATTCATGCTTCGCAATTCAATCACAATAAACACCATAAATTCACAATCCCATACATAAACCTTAGCATGATGCTACTTGTAATTGATTGAAATCAAACCTAACATGATTCTACATCATCAAAATATGCTAAGTACGCGTACGTACCTTGAGTACGTTATTAAAATTGCCACGACTAGTAGAAATCGCTTACTTCAAAGTCTCCTACACATTAAATCCATAATAGAGTATTAATATCCACTCTAAACAAATTTCCAGCAATATATACTATTTTAAAACCCTTCATAATTTAATTAGAATAAGCTGAAATTATATTTAAAACACCATAAATTAAGTCCCAATTAATGGGTAATTAAAATTTCTTCAAGAAACATAATATCAAGTGTTCTACATAAAATTCCAACACTTTATTATAATTAAAACTTGCTGTAATTAGGTTTTAAAACACTTAAAACAAAGGCCTACCCTATTATACATCATAATCTTTCAATTAAATCATGAATCAAGAACCTAGGGTTTCAAAAATTGGGGCTTTTTAATTAAAAACCAAATCTGAAAATTAATTAACACAATTACAATAACCAAACATCAAAATTAAATCTCCAAACTCATAATTTATAATTAGACTAAATCATAGATTAGTTTTGGGTAATAAAGATTTGATTTTTAAAAGAAAAAGCCTCTTTTTTTTTTCGAGAAACATGGTTGCCGACAGCAGGGGGCCGGCGCCACTGCCGGTGGTCGCCGCTGCTGCCGGCTGGTGCTGGTGGCCGGCGGCCCACCGGTGGTGGTGGTGGCTGCCGGTGGTGGCTGTGCGCGGCAAGAGGGGAAGGGAAGGAGAGAGAAAAAGAAAAAAGAAAGAGAAAAAGGAGAGAAGTTTACCTTGGGTTTTCTCCACTCTGGGAAACATTGAATTGCCTCATAAGAGGGATATTTATACCCCTTCTCTATCTCCCCTTTTACCCTAAACTTTCCTCCTTTAGTTTTTCCTAATCCCTTCCCTACTAAAACTTGTTAAAATCATAATTTCTTAAAATAAAACCCCAACTTCTATTAATTAATTAATTAATTAGACAACCTTTCCTTTTGTAAAATATTCCCAATTTACATGGGATAAATAATTAAAACATCATAATTAAAATGCTAGAATTATTTAAATACCCTTATAAAATTTATATATATTAAATAAAATACGTATAAAGTGTACATATATTAAATAAAATACGTATAAAAATACGGGGTATTACACATACAGCTGGACAGGGGATACTGCTGAAAGCCTCAAATGCATTGACTCTGCAGGCTTTTAGTGATTCAGACTGGGGTGCCTGTGTTGACACCAGGAAGAGTAAAACTGGCTATGTTTTGTAGTTGGGGTCTTCTCCAATCAGTTGGAAGTCTAAAAAGCAGGCAACAACTTCTAAGTCTTCATCTGAATCTGAATGTAGAGCCATGGCCTGTGCTGCTGCTGAAGTTACATGGATGGTTAGGTTACTTCAAGAGCTTGGGGTTCCTGATTTGCTTCCTGTTACTCTCCACTGTGATAACCAGTCAGCATTACATATTGCAAGAAATCCAGTGTTTCACGAAAGAACCAAACACATAGAAATAGACTGCCATTTTACTCGAGAGAAAGTGATGGAAGGATTGATCCAGCTGACTTATCTTCCAACAAAGTCTCAGCTTGCAGATATCTTCACCAAGATTCTGTCTTCTGCTCAATTCTCTGAGCTTTTATCCAAGCTAGGACTGTTCAAACCACAGTCTAGCTTGCCGGGGGGGGGGGGGGGTGTTGAGAACACCTTGGTTCAGGCCCAGGCCCAACACACAGAAGAGACTGGAGCCCAAGTCTACTGAGTTAGTTAAAGTTAAAGTTGTTAGTTAGTTATAACAACCTCTTTATTTCCTCTGTTATTTTTTTCCTCAGCTAGCATTATAAATACAATAACCAGCTGTAATAATTAGGTACTTGTATTAATTCTCTTTTAATGCTTCAATAAAAATATCTCTCTCTTCTGCTTAAACACTTCTTCTCTCTTACATTTTAATGGCGAAATCAAGGTTTTGACAGTTTCTCACGTGCCATTTTCTTAAATAAGCCAATGATTCGATTGTGGATCCCATAAATGAAAAACTTGTTGATATATTCATGAAAATGCTCTCATTCTCAATATGAGAAGCAGGGAATTTCCCGATAATTATTAAGCAAGCTTACAAGATCATACTAAATATCAAAAATACGATATGCAAACATTACTTACAGATAGAAAGGATGGACAAGGCGTCAATGAGAGAGCTGTTGGCGAAAATAACTTGCAATCGCAAGGATGCTTAGCAGTGATTTCTCTTTATATATTGTTGTTAAGATGGTAACTGCCTTTTACAACAAGTTATTATTCTTTAAAGACAGTTTAGAATAGTCGAGTTAAAAACATTTGATGACGGAGTTTGAGGAATAGCTCAGTTGGTTAAAGCTTTTCTTCCAATATCAAAAGATTGGGTTGAGAATTTTTAACACGAAAATGATTGAATTAGCCCTTTTTTATTAGGAAAGAATTATCTCTATCGTACCAAACCTTATTTATTCAACATGTTACCCTAATACCCTACGCAAGTATGATTCAGCTATTAGCTAAGACTGATTATTATTAACGAAACAAAATACAAAAATTTGATTGTTGACCATATAAAACAGGTAGATATTACTAGATTTAGAGTTCTATAAATCTATAATTATTAATTATATTTTGAAATTTGAATATTCTTTTTTTTTTTAAAGACTACTTTTCACATGAAGTTCTTATCATTAAATAAAATATATTACGGGTCTTACATGATCAGTTGATCACATTATTTAAGAGGCTATGAAAAAGATGTACAGTACGTATGAATTGTTGCATGAGATGGCAAGCATGTTTATCTCCTAACTTTTTTTTTTTTACATACTCAACATTCAGTGCCGTGCGTACTTCATTATTATGTGCTGTCTATTTTTCTTGATCAATCCATATGTGACAATTCATATAGTAATTTCCTTAATATTGGAGAGCTGACTTTGACAGTTGATTTATGAGAAATTGATGAACAATATTTAACTATTGGGCTAGTTCTCATACGTTGACATTCAGTTTAGTTCAGTTCAGCTCCTAATTTCCTTCTCTTATAAAATATTTATTTCAGTTCAGTTCAGCTCAGCTCAGTTCAGTTCAGTTCAGTTCAGCTCAGTTCAGTCAATGGGAACAGGTTGTCTAAAAAATGAAAAGAAATGTCTAACTAGTTTAGTTGGTTAAAGTTTTGGGATGATATCAAGATCAAATTCCATCTTTATAAGTGTCATTGTGCCTCTTTCTAACACTATAAATGAATCATTCAAGTATGAGAAGACAAGACAAATAATTGGATACCATATACAATATTTAATTGTTTATATTAGTTTGCTATTTATGATTTATTTGGTTAACTAGGAACTTTTTTTCAACCGATTTAAAAGGGTTTTTTAAGAAGCTATGTGTAAATGACGGGTGGAAATGAATAAGAATGTAGAGTGTGGTTACTAATTACTATGCACCAAAAGTCCAAAAGAACACAAGTGCAAATGTGATACATTCTTCTATGCTTGAACCCTATAAGTAAAAGGTAAACCCAATTTTTTTTTTTTATTTTATTTTTTATTTTTTTTTATTTTATTTTTAATTTTTTTTTTATTTTTATCATCATCATCATCATCATAATGTCCACAAAAAGTCGTGTACTTTGGTACAATACTCACTATGCACTCTTGTCTATCATCCAAATTGCAAGGTTTAACATATATTTTTTTCAGAACACAATTATTTTTGAATTGCATGATTAGCTGATTAAATCTCACAAGTATTCAATTAACTCTACATACATAACCGGTAACAGCTTTATGTACAAATTCAATACAATTTCCGAATTTCGTTCATAATTATATAATAATTGAGTCAACACCAACTCAAATAAGCAAATGACAGTACATAACTACATAACCACACCAGTAGTTGTTTTCCAATGAAAGCTACTAACAAGCAACTACTCTCACACAAGCAAACATTGAAAAGAAGGAATGAAATTAACCGTCACAACTCAAGTTTCCCTGCAGAAGAACAATTTAATTAACCATATCTGCATCACAACGCGATTGATTATTAGTGAGATGATGATGCTTGTCCTTGAAGCAGTCCATCTCTGATCTGTGTTGCAACGTCACGTACAGCACCGGGTCCATGAGGGATAAACACAGCTGATGTCTTGGAGGCTGCACCGATTTCTTTCATTGTATCGAAGTATTGTGTGACAAGGATCATGTCCATAACATCCTTGGCACTAGTCCCAGGAACGTTGCCTGAGAAGCCTAGCACACTGTCTCTAAGACCATCAACGATTGCCTGCCTCTGCCTAGCGATACCCAGTCCTGAAAGGTACTTGGACTCTGCCTCTCCTTCAGCTTTTTTGATCTGTATGATCTTCTCTGCCTCGGCTTTGTCATTTGCTGCCACCCTCATTCTTGAAGCTGACAAAGTTGAAGTCATTGTCAGATTGAGTTCTTAAAAATGTAATGGATGATTCAAAGACACTTCTATTTGAAATTATGATGATTTCAATGTAAGTCTTATACAAACTCTCTGATAGCATGTCATAGGAAGAGTATTTCTCATGTGTGCCAAAGACACAATTAATGTTCCATACCAAATAAAACGCGGTCTGATTTTATACATGAATAACAATACTTCCAATCCTAGGGATGCTAGAGGTAACAAAACATTGAGGTTGATGAATGTCTTACCAGCATTGATTTCATTCATAGCGCGCTTGACATGCTCATCAGGTTCAATATCAGTAATGAGTGTTTGAACAATTTCAAACCCATAATGAGACATTGCCTGTAAAGAAAATAACAGTTTTGAGCTTCAGAATCTGATCAAATATATACAGGACTTCAGGATTATTTGTGCAGCTATATACATGCCTAAACTTACTTTTTCGAGTTCATCAGCAACTGCTTTGGCAATATCACTCTTCTGCTCAAACACATTATCAACATCTAGCCTTGGTACAGTTCCTCTGATCACTATAAAATCAGAAGGATATAAAGATTCAGACTTCTATAGCTATTGAAGTTCGAAAATGCCAAAATATATTGCATTTCATATCGAATTACCATCGAAAACATAGGCCTGGATTTGGGATCGAGTGTTGGTGAGCTTGTAAAATGCATCATTTGCCTTGTCAGAAAGGGCTCGATATTGAATAGAAGCAACAACAGTGACAAACACATTGTCCTGCATAACAAGAAGCAGGTCACTCAATACTCATATATCCAACAATCTTAAACAATCACATAAAATTCAATATTTCATTAGGCATTGTTCTGTTCTTCAAACAAATCAATACAGAAACGCATGCAAAAGCAACAAAGCTAAGAGCATATGTAATCTGTAAAGGTACTTGGTAAAGGAATCAAAGCGAGACATATAAGAAGACTGACCTTGGTCTTGGTTTCACAGCGTACATCCAACTGTTGTACACGAAGACTAAGCTTGCCTGCTATCTGTTGGCCAATGAACCAAGGAACACAATGGCACCCTGGCTCGAGCACATCATTATATTTTCCGAAGCTCTCCTTAATAGCAACCGTCGATTGGTCAACTTGAACACAGCACAACAAGTTCCCCATTTTATGGTCTATGTAGTTTTTCTAAAGGTTACAACCACAAGAAAATTTCAATAGTAAAAGGGGTTAACAAATTATTACTCAATAACACAATAATAAAAAAATAACATTTTGGAACAGCTTTTCACCAGTAAAAATTAAGACAATACATACAACTCTTATGCACGTTCAAGAACAGCTTTATTAAATTAAAGATATCTAATAGTCTAATTAGATAGATTAAACTCAGTTCTGGCCAATTTAACACAACTCACAAGCCAAATTTAGCTCAATATAAATTTGATTATTAAAACAAAAATTCTAAAATACTAGTAACAAAAATCTCCATGATTGAAAACATTTTAGGTGTGAATAATGATGATTCCAGCTAATTATAACCATCGTTAAGTCATATCATTAACCAACTTTTCTTAAAATAAAATTATTTAATCATCAATTTTTTTGGCGTATATAATAAAATTAATTAAGTATTTTGTAACCCATGTTTGTAATTATTGTATGATGTCTCATTCCTACCTCGTATAACTATGAAAATCAAGTCATACGAAAATAATTCGTATGTAACTATGTTTACATTAACTGCATAAAATATTTACACAAAATCAGGCATAAATAGTTTTACATTTTTAATTCTTCTATTTGTGTTAAGGGTAAGAAAAACCCTTCTACATTAGAATTGTTGAGACTCTCGAGAGGAGAGAGGAAAAATGAGAAAAATGAATAAATAAATAAATAAATAAAAGGGTTATGTTAAACGTCGCCCTTATACTCCTTTACTCTTATGAGTTATGACCACAACAAACATTTATCACCAAGGCGAATCAATTGATCTTAGGTGAACATTTTTTTTTTTTTGACAAAACCGCTATTTCACGTAAAATACTCATCAAGTGGCAAAACCACTACTTCACGTAAAATACTCATCAAGTAGCGGTTTTGTTCATAAACAGTAAAAAAAATAGAGCATATATTTACAATATTGCCACTAGATAAACAACATAAAGAAAGATTTTTTTTTTTTTTTTTCTCTTACCACTTGACAGCTAGTCGAGTAAACCAAGTTTTTCATATGTTAATTGGTAATATTATAATTTATACCACATTATTGAAAATTTACTGATTGAATAATACTTCACGCAATACAGCCCATCCTAAAACCATACCTAACAATTCGTAGCAAAAACAACAAAAGTAATCTAAATTTTCTTTTTGAAGAAACCAATTGAGCAATTTCATATCATAATTCATAAAATATCATATAATAAATTGAATAATAAAGATACAAAATCAAAATAACGGAGTATAAAGAAAGAAAGAAGAAAATTAAATTTGAGAAAAAAATTCTTACAGATTGAGAGAGAAAGATGATGAAGAAAAAGACAAAGTGAAGATAGCTGTTTGGCGAAAATGGCCGAGAAATCGCAAAGATATTCACCAAACTAAAATCCCTTTTTATATTTCTTGGTAGCAAAAATTAGTGACTTTTTTAACAAGTTTTTAAATCAGAGTCAATGATGTTATTTTGTCGAATTTTCCACTATTGTTACAATATTCTTTAAGCAACTTGTTTTTAAGTTTCTATTTTTGTTAATGTACTAATTAAATGCAGTTATTAGTCATTTTCCTGGGAAATTTCAAGGAAATGTGGTTGCAACTCTTGCTAGACCAGGTAATTATTATTCTTTGAAATAATGTTGAGTCAATCACTTTAAATTTTGGATAAACATTGATTTTTCCATGTCCACTTGATTATACTTTGGATAATGATAATTTCAAATTTCACTCCCATTTAGATTAACGAGCTAAACAATTTGAGAATCGAATGGGGAGAGGAAAGATGTCTCCAAGCTCGAGTGCTCCTAAAGTCCTATTCTCTATATGGAGTATTAGAATTGGACCCTTAACTTCAAAGTTACTCCGTATAAGTTAGTTTAATTCTTTACTATTGGGATAATAATATTTGATATTTTGATACTTGTATTTTTGCTTTCGCTTATTGCTCTAGCTATAAACTTGTACATAGCTATACTATATTACTATAGTCTATAGATAAAGTTTTATTAGTGATTATTTTTTAGTCTATATGTTCCCAAATTGAGATATAGGTCATCTTTATTTCCTATAGTAAAAGAGTATTGTAGACCAAACTGTTTAAAAGTGGGCTTTATCTCTACAACATGGAATTTTTTTTTGGGATGATCAATGCAGATTGCGAACCAGGGCCCCTATTATGTTTATTTGTGAAATTTTGGCCCGTTAAGTTACTACTTACAATTGGTATTACATACACCATGGTGCACCTAGAAATAGGTGCACCAGGCCCAATATGAGCCCAACAAACGGAGCCCAGACTAACAATCCACGCCCAACTAATGAAATCCAGACACCGATCCACACCCAACACACGTGATTCGTTTTTTTAAAAAAAAAATTAACTGTTCTAAATTATAAACAACTATTTTATTTTTTTAATCATTTTAAAAATATTCTCTCTCCTCTTATAAATTATAAACTTCCTTCAATTAATTCATATACATTTCTCTCTCCTGTTTTCAATTTTCTCACTCATCTCTTCAATTTTCTCTCTCTAAAAACTGCTAGTCGTCCATGGCGAACGACGAAGAACAACAGAAAACAACTTCAGAAAGGTGAACATCAATTAAATTACTTTAATTTTGATACGATTTGTTAAATTTGTTAAAATAATTGTCGTTTTGATTTTTTCTTTCATTTTTTTTTGGCTAGAAAATTAGAAGTATCTACTCCTATTGAAGAGGATGAAGATGATATGTAAGTAATTTGTTATTTAAATTCACAATTTGAAAATTTTAAAAGTGAATACTAATTTGAACCACAATTTTTTAAACAGGACAGGACATTAGGCAAAATGTTCAAAGTCAAAACACCAAAAAAAAGAAATTAGAAGATATATCTAAGGGCCTGTTCACATTTACTGAACTGAGCTGAACTGAACTGAACTGAACTGATTGGAGCTGAACTGAACTGAACTGAATTGAGCTGAAATGAATATTTTATGAGAGAGGAAAATTTAGAGCTGAACTGAACTGAAATGATTGGAGCTGAACTGAACTGAACTGAACTGAACTGATTAGAGCTGAACTGAACTGAAATTAAGTGAATGTGAACAGGCCCTAAGTCAAGTAAAATTGTTAATAAAAAAATATTTGAAGAATTAGATAAAGAAATTTCAGAAAGTCCAACAAACAGGTATATTTTGTTTATATATTTTTTTTTATTAATGTTCATATACGTTGTTTGGTTTGAAATATAATCTATGTTTGAACAACACAAAATAAACCATTGAAAATCGCTTATAAACAATTGAACAGCCCACAATTCCATGTTTATGTTTGTATATTTGTTTGCATGTTCATTGATTTTAATTATGTTTTTATCTTTGTTTAAACAACCATTAAGTAACTTGTGAACAACAAGAAAAAACCACTAAACATCCCCCACTTCAGTTTACATTGGTATATGTTCTATTTAATATTGTTTTGAACACCCTTAAGAAACTTTTGAACAAAAAAAAACTACCACTTAACATCACACAAAAAACATTAAACAACCTCCACTTCAATTTATGTTCATATATGTTTTGTTTATTATGATATTCAATTTGCTTTACATTCATATATTTGTTTCAAATGTTAATTATATTGTTATTTTTTTATTCACATTCCAACTACTGGAATGCACCCACTTATATTTGAACTGCCCCCACTTACATCTGAACAACACCCTAAAAAATCTGATCATCCCTCACAATCCTCTAAAAATTCTGAACCACCTAAAACTTCTGAACAATCACAAATTTCTAAACCCTCTTCAAAACCTTCTGCACAACCTCTGAAAACTTCTGAACAACATATTCCCCCTAAAACTGAAGAACTCCCTGCAACAGAAAAACAACCAGAAAACACTGAACCCACTTATAAACCTTCTGAACAACATCCAAAAACTTTTGAACCAAAGATGCCCATTGAAACAGAAAAGACCCATAAGAAAGAGAAGCCACCAGAAACTTCTGTACTACCTTTAGAAAATTCTGAACAACCTTCACAAACTTCTGTACCACCCCCTCCAGAAACTTTTGTTCCACCTCCAGAAACTTCTGTTCCACCTCCAAAAACTTCTATACAACCTCCAGAAACTTCTGTACAAGCACCTTCAGAAACTTTTGAACTTATTAGTGGAGGCAATGCTAACAATACAATTGTGCCCATATAATTCATGTTTGATGTTCATATACTTATCTTTTATGTCCATATATATATCCACTTTAATTTATGAAGTAGTAATTTGTGTATAAATTATATTAAGTATTTTGGTATGATGAAATAATAATTTATTTGGATGTTGTGTATTTCCTTATTTTGTTGTTTAATATTTAATAATAAGCAGACCAACTACTGCACACCCTCAAAAAACTTTTGAACAACACAAAATAACAATTGAACACCCCCCAAGAACATTGAACAACCCCTACTTTAATATTTGTGTTAATATATTTTATGTTTCATGTTCATATTCAATATGATTTATGTTCATATAGTTTGTGCTTTATGAAGTTAAAAATTTGTTTGGGTGTTCATTGTTTTTCATTATGTTGTTTATTTTTTATTAACAGTCCAAAGACATCTGAACTACCCCCACAAACATCTGAACTACCACAACAAACATCTGCTCAACCCTCAAAAACATTTGAATAGCAACCAGAAGCCATAGAAAAGCCCCTAAAAGAAACTAAAAAGGCCTTTGAAACTTCTGGGAAGCAAAACTTTTGATAAGCCACTAGAAGAAACAGAAAAGCCCCCCTGAAACTTCTGATATGCCACTAGAAGAAATAGAAAAGCCTTCTAAAACTTCTGATAAGGCACCAGAATTAAGTGAAAAGCCACCAAAGTTGTTTGTTCTTATGCTTATGCACATTGCTCATATTCTAATGCTTATTGTTCATATTGTTATGCTTATTATTCATATTAATTAATGTTGTTTAATTTGTTCATTCTAAATACTTATTGTTCATATTCTTATGCTTGTTGCTTATGTTATACAATTGTTTTGATGAGTTCGTGCTCAAAAGAAAAATATTTTGCATCCAAAAAGACTCACCCTATCATTTTTGTATGGGCGAAGAAATTGGTACATGAATGAATAAAATGAATTGGAGAAAAGAGGAGGCAAGGTTACGAAATATGAGTTGTGTTGCTAGCTCAAAATCCAAATCCAAATAACATAAGAACATAATAAGGGTGTCGAATTGTGACAAAATATGTTCATTAATTGTACTCTAATTGTTCATTTATCATATTCATTTTCAATTTTTTTTTTTTTGTTTTTGGAACAGATATTCATTTTCAATATAATAAATACATACTTATAGGTTTATTTTCATGGTTCTTCATTCATTTTAAATTTCTTATTAATAGTTGATTTTTATTATTTTGTACTTAATATTTATTTGTCATTTGTATGTTGTATGCCAGATTCTATGTTATTATTTTACATAATTTAAAGTACGATTTTGTCTATAAATCTTTCACCTCATACAAACCAACTATCAACATATATAGTAATGTATTACCACTTTTGTTCTTTATTTGAAGCTATTAGCCTATTGTACAAGGAGTTATTACTATCTTGGTGAGAAAAAAGCTATTATACAGGTGTAATATGTCCATTTATCATATGTTCTTAATAACAACTAATAAGAAAATACGTCTATTATGTTCATTTTTTTAAAAAAATAGTGTTCAATTTATGAAAGTAGAATGTTCAAACTTCATACTCCATACTTCGTATCCACTTGTATAAAATTACTTAGCACTCGTATATAGAATATATGTTCAAAACCAACGTAACATAGGTTCATACATCTAATTAATAACAAATTCTTAACCACTTATTAAAAAAAAAAAAACAAAACAAATTTTTTTATCAACTGCAAAATATATATGTATGTTAATAAATAACATATGTTCATGAAATTACATTAGAAGTTCAAATCAAAAAGCATAACCATTATAGCTCAGAAGGCTTCTTTATCAGTTCTGACTTGTTTCTTTATTGAGTTAGAATAGATTTATTCTTTATTCACTGAAAAAAATAATTTTAAAAAATATGTTAATAACCAATCTTCATAATTAAGATGTTCATATATAATTCCTAAATATATGTTCAAAATAATAATTAAGATGTACTGTTCATAATGTTCATAGATCAAAAGAAATGTTCATAAGAAATGTTCATAAGAAATGCATAGCATGTTCAGAATTATAATTAAGATATTCAAAATTCTAAAATATATATCGGTAAAAATTTATTTACATAGGATACGTATCATATGTTCATATTTTTAACAAAAATGTTCAAAATTACCAAAATATAAACGAATACAGGAATGTTCATAATAAAATGGAAAATGATCGATTCTATACACATGAACTAAATAAAAGGGGTTCATGTTCTGAAAATTATATGAATGTGCGTGATTGTTTAATTGATACCAAGCTAAGTTTTTTTGAACAAATTAACCAAAGTAAGTCAGATATGACTATATGAGGATATACATTAACAACTTTATTACTTTCTCTCTCAAAGTTAGGCAACATTCACCATGAATGAAGCTCCACATACTCTACAAGTTAGATATACTTTTCCTAATTAATTTCTTCCTAAATCAATCTCCTCATATAGCTAAAATCCACCGCCACCTATATCGCCTCAACTACTCCGTCCAATCATCATCATCTTCTCCGGGACAAAAACAGTCAAATATTAAATTAAATGCAAGGTTTTTCCTCTCGATCCTATATCATTAGTCGAATTTTCTTTTATAATGAAGGTAATTCCAGGGGAATTCCAGCCAAATTCAATCAAAACAGAGGAATCAACAATGGTGATAACCGCATTCAAAAAACGAAGAGAGAAAAATATAGGAGAGAGAATATAGATGAGAGATAAATTATGTATGATGATTTAAAATGAGGTAAGTTTAAGAAGAAAAATTGAAGAAAAGGAATTGAGAAATTAGGAAAGAACACATGAAATAGAAAACGGAAGAATGTTGAGAATTTGAAAGAAGAAAGCTACAGTTGGCAACTTCTAATTATGTGGCTTCACTCATTGGTGGTGCACACAATTTAAGGTGCACCATGGTGCATATTATAATTTGCGTACTACTTATATTACAAATTCTTACATAGACCTATTGCTACTTATATAATCATATGTTTAAAATAAAATACAAAGTATAATATGGATATATTTTACGGAGTACGATTTATGACTAAAAAGACATTTTAAAACATAAAATTAAATTTTGAATATCTCAATTTACGTGACAACACAAAAGAGGTTTTTTTTCCCTTTCTTTTTATCTTATTTTATTTTATTTTATTTTTTTTTGGCTTTTTGACCTCGAATCGGATTTAAAAGGATCAAAATTTCAAAGTCTTAATAGAGCAAAGTTTTGGCAAAAAAATCAATAATTAAAAAAATGAATCTAATAATAGATTCGTAGAGCATAAATTATTATTATTATTATTATTATTATTATTATTATTATTATTATTATTATTATTATTATTATTATTATTATTATTATTATTATTATTATTATATCTCAAAAACAAAAGTCATACAACTTACAATAAATTCGTGGGAAGCCGAGATACAATCTAGGCCCCCTACTCCTCTAGCTATAACAAAGTTGACCCTAGTGAAGATATGAGTTGCAGCACGAGCCCTAATGTCTTGCGTCGTCGAGAACCTCTGAACTCGCTTCAGCAACTCAACAATCTCTTTCTCTAATTCCCTAAACGAAGAAAAGGAGAAGGAAATGACTCCATATCCAATCGCCTGACAACGAGCTGCATACTTAACCCGCTTCCAATGAGTCGCATCAACCACAACTAGTCCAAGAACAAAGTCACCAGCCCTGCCTGTGTCAAAGGAGAAGACCCTGCTGAATACTACTAACAATAAGATGAATCAGACGGAAAACATTCTCACAGCTACAAAAGATCATCGGGTTGTCTCTCTGACAAGGTTTGTACTATCCAACAATATAAGCAATTGATGTTCCATACAGTGCAAGATCTACACAACAATTGTTGTTTTTATGAAGGGATTTTTTATTTGATTCAATATATGTATTTGTTAAATTCGAATCCCCTTTGTAGATGTTGTATAATATATGATTTTTTTTATTAATGAATTAATTTTACTATTCTTAAAAAAAAAAAGAAAAGAAAAAAAAAACTGATGCAGAGTATAATATCAAATTCATTAATATATAATCATAAAAATAATTAAGTTAATATTTTATAGTGGAATATGATTTTGATTGCATAATTTATTTGATTGGTTGAAAGTTTAGAGTTATATATTATTTTATTTATCCCATAAGACAATAAAAAAATATGTAAATTATTTTTGAATTTAATTCATGCAAATCCCAATTATTGATGATTAATCTTCCCTCTTTTTTTAATGGATTATGGAGGGGTGATATCATTAAATAATAATAGTCACTTAGCGCTTACAATTATCCTTTAAGAGAAATAAGGGCCTGTTCTCATACGATTATTTTCAGTTCAGTTCAGCTCTAATCAGTTCAGTTCAGCTCCTAATTTCCTTCTCTTATAAAATAATCAGTTCAGTTCGGTTTGGTTCGATTCGGTTCAATTCAGTTCAGTTTAGTTCAGCTCTAATAAGTTCAATTCAGTTTAGTTCATCTCTAATAAGTTCATTTCAGTCTGCTCAGTTCAGTCAATGAGAATAGGCCCTAAATCCTCAATACAATAAGTATTAAAAAACACTTAAACTAATGGCATCACTTTTGAACTGCTCTGAATAATTATAGGTGTATTTGCATCATTCTTGACAGAGCTTCATTAATTGTAGTAGCAAAAGTAATAAAACTTGATTGGTTATCAAGATCGGCAAATTTGCACTCAAGACAAATCTTCGATCTAAATTTGCAATCATATACCAACAGACACACAATTTCACAAATTTACAAGACAAATCTTCTAAATTTGTATTCCTACTTACACACACAAAATAAACTAACAAACAATAGTGAAATTCCCACCATAAGTGATGCACGCGGGAGCATCCTTGAAACTAAGGATTGTATGGATATATGATCCTTAAGTTGCATTTATGACTCCAATCTACTTTTGGGATAAATACCCTATCTTAGATGAATAGGAGTGAATCTT